ATCTAGGAATAAATTGCCACAAGGAAATATCTTCTATTCACTCTCTGGCTACCTATGGACACCCCATTGGAAGGTTTGTTTGGTCTACAAAGAACCAAGCTATTAGGATTGGCATGGCAAATTGTTTTTGTTATTTTCAAGTAAAATCAAAGTATAATATTATGTCTAATTTATTCATACCTAAGCAATGTTTATAAGTGTTCACAGTTTCAGTTTAGTCTCAAAATTCTTTTTTCTTTTCTTTTCTTTTTTTAATATATTTGTTTGTTGCAGGGTAGTGATCCTCCGGCTTTTAGCCTCTCCAGCGATAGGATTACAGGCATGTTACACTACACCCGGACTCTGGCCAGTTCAGCCCACCTTGGAGGCGGGGCTGGCATGGGGCTGGGGTGTCGTCGGGAATCCGAACCTCCGTGGTCCCTGCACTTGCCTAAGCTTACCTAAGCAGTGCTTTAGTTTGCTGAGCTATCTCACCGGCCCCTCAAAATTCTTCTTTAGAAAGATCAAGTATAGTCAGGGGGCAGGAGATGTTCTTATCTTTTGGTAGGAGCAATCACAGCTCCTACAATATGAAATTCTCTTGCCTGTCACCACCACCTTCATCAAATAAATCTTATTAAACACCTCTATCACTCCCAAAAGCAGTTTTGAGCAACCAACATACACCAAGCATCTAGAAATATAAGTCCACACCGAGTTCTATGAATAAGCAAAATATGCAACAGCCTCAAGTGTTCAAATCACAGAGATACATCATGCAAAATTGTTATCAGTTAAGAACATTTCTGATGTTCTTTTTATTAGCTTGCTTTTAGACAGGGGCAAAATGCAGGGAAAGCAGATCAGGTCCCTAGAGAAGTCTGAAATCTGAAGGCGCACTGATATAAATGTTTATAAAAACATACAATTCGTGTATTAAGCAATAGAAAATATCTCACTGTCCTGTTGAAGGAAGGATCTTGGAAAAACAATTCCCAAGTTGTGGGGAAAGTAAGAAAAAGGTTAAAAGATAGTTGTATCCTTATTTAGAGGACAGATTTTATTTATTTTTTTTTAGTACTGGGGACTGAACTCAGGACCCTGTGCTTGCCAGGCAAGTGCTTAATGGACAGATGTTAAAAACAAATTATTCGTATTTCTTCATGAACTTCTAGAAGACTTCTTGGCTGGGTTTTGGGGGAGGGGCAGACATGGTAGGCAGGCGCTCCACCACTGAGTTACATCTTACTTGTTGTGTTACTAAGGCAATGATTTTCAAAAAAATTGCTATCTATTACATTATTGATAGTTTGTTTCATATGATTGCTTGGTTCCATTTGAGCATAGATTATTGCTTCATCTGAAGAGGAACCATGTCCCTTCCTGGGACCTCAACAGAACTGTCAACATTTAAAACCTCATACAATTATTGGTGATAGACTGGGGATATAGTTTAGTGGCATAAGCATCTATCTGGCAAGTACAAGGTTCTGAGTTCAATTTCTTGTACCAAAATAAAAAAAAAATTATAGGTGATAACCTGAAAATGATGTTAGAGATCAAACTGTCACCAGAATGAGGGCCAGGGTGATTTGGGTTTTGATGGTAGTGTCAAAACAGAAACTAACTCAATAAACTACAATGTGTGTACCAGTACTTGATTTACGACTTAATAGAGTGTTCAACTTAAAACTACATAAATACTGCTTGAGGACTTGCAGCTCATTTGACCAATTTACCACTGAGAGTCTGGGGCCTTCACTGACTTTGTGAGCCATATCCACTTACCTGAAGGTTCCTTTCTTTCAAAAATTTTAAGAAGATGATTGGTTTTCAAAATAGATTTTACCTGATCAGAATATAGATTTAGCAATGAAGTGTATTTTGGAGGAGTTACAGAAATTTTTCTGACAAGGAATTTTTGTTCGTTTCCTTCCTTTGCAGAAGTGTCTACAATACTATTCTCTTATTAAGAAGAGCTCTATGGGCAATCTGCTTGCAACTGTAAAAATGGGCCTGATTTTCAGTTTTTGATCAGTGTGATACTTTCATCATGTTATTAATAATGTGAAAAAATCAGGTCCAATCTTGCCTTCATTTGGGAGAGTTAAAAAAATGTTAATGGTGGGAAAATTAGTTTTCTACTTCAAGATCAATTTTATAAAACATGTATCTGCATGGCTTAAAATGTTTTAACTGACTGATAGTACTACACCGCATGTGCATGTGCAGGTGTGTGTGCATATACAGACTACTGTGGAGATAACTTTTGCTAGTATTCCAGATAGCTGTTGTACAATTTTGAACTGCTGGGGCACTGTAACTCGAGCTTCAAGAACTACAGTAATTTCCATCTATTCACATACTCAGCTTAATTTTTTAAGAGGGAAATAATAGGGCTGGAGAGATGGCTCAGTGGTCTAAAGCACCTACTTGGAACAAGCTTGGCAAAGCACAGGGACCGCGGTTCAATCCCCCAGCACCACATGCCAGCCAGCCCCGCCCCCTGGTGGGCTGAGCTGGCCACACACATACACACACTAAATAAAAATGTAATAAATAAATAATTAAAAAAAAAGAGGGAAATAATAGTAGAATTTGTGGAGAAAAACTATGGTGTCATTAGCTTATTGACAACCTCTATCACAATGAATGCTTCAAATTAAAAATCTTAAATTAAAAACTAAGCATAATATAACTAATGAAAGCAAAATGTCAGTTTGAAGACATTTATGACCTCTCTTTCAGACAAAAGGGATTCCTAAATATGAATATAAAATATATTGACATTTTTAGATGTTTAGACTAAACAACTTTATTTGATGTTACATGGGTCTAGTTACTTTAAAATAATTTTAAAAACTAAAGTGTATGAATCTTTTTAAGAAGTTGTAAGTAAGGAGCTATATTTATGCATGGTGTCTGCATATAACTCATTTAATTAATTTGAAACTTTGTTTCCATGGAATTAATTAAATATAATTATGTATGGTCAAGAAACTAAAGATAAATATAATTTATTTTTTTAAATTTTAGCTTAGCTCTAAAATTTGAATTTATGAGTCTTCACTGCACAACATACATTCGGTGGCTACCCTATTTTAACCTTCTCATGTTAATCAAATCAAACTAAAAGTAAAAATAAGCTATTCTTTTTCAGTTTAAACTGAGTTATACTGAGCCTATACTATCTATCAATTAATTTAGTTTGTTGTTAATAATTATAGCCTTTTCTTTGCCCATTTACATTTCCTAATCTCAGCTTATAACAACTTCTTCATCTATGTGAAAAACTTAATACTAGCATATAATTCTTAATAGCATATTAAAATGAACCAGAAGAGCATGTGTAGATTTACACTATACATATAAGGTGATTGCCAGCTGACTAGGAGTTGGACGGATCTTTACAAAATGTCATTGTTTTATTTAACTAGTAAGTGTAAACTAATTAAAACTTTTATAGTATTTCATTTTACATTTAAAAACATCATGTTTTATATGCAAAAAATGTTTAATCAGGTTTCCAATTTATAGTGAACTGCTCTACTAGAGTATATGCGTCATCTTTTAATGGATAGATAGGGTTTTTTTATAAATTATATAAACTATATATGGTTTGTCCCCAGTAAAGTGATGCAATCTCTGTGTGTGGTACTAAGTTTGATTATGATGTTTTTTACTGTCTGTGCACCAAAACTAGCCATACTTTGTTTCAAGAAAAAGGTTCACCAGTATTCTTTAAACGTACTTAAATACAAGCCACTAACTTTCTGCGAACACTTTTGCTTTTACTTAGAAAGACATACTCCTATCCATGAACTCTACTTTTTATTGCAACATTTCTGAATATAAGATGAACATTGTATTCCATAGAATTCCATACAAATGATTGCCCAAGAAAATATATTTTTAACTCTTCATAAGTTAACTTTTCTTTGATTTATGTCCAGCGTTCAGTACTTGGATTGAGAATGAAAAGTCATTTTCAAATCATCCAACTGCTAAATTAAGTTTTCCGTATCACAAGCCTGCTTTTTTAAAAAATATACATTAGAAAGCTTCCTTGTAAAAGGGTAGAACTGTTCACTAGAACAGTCACTTATAGGACAGGAAGCTCAAAGGGTGTTTGATTGAGTAATAAGAGTGCTTTGACAATGAGACTTGACGTGGATAACTATTCAGTGATTCATCTCATTCAGCTCTCCATCTTTCCCTTCTAAGTGGCTGCTCTGTGTGGATCTATACAGTAAGCATGACAGAGGCTCACGGAAGTATTTTTGAGCTCTCTGATTTCATAGTATATGTTTGATGAACAGAATAATATGTATTCCTTCAGCTGTCCAAGAATGAGGGCAGGGGGGAAGTTAAAAGGAAAAGCAAAGGCAAGACAGAATTAGACTTCAATCAGTGCTACAAATGTAGTGTACATTCACTTCTAATCTTTTTCCTTATGTCTCACTCCCAATTCCATCAAAATGTCCTTAGAGTTTCTCCTCACTTCTAACCATTGCTGTACAACCCAGACGCTAAAAGGGTAGGGTTCCACAGATTGTAAATTTACACACACACACACACACACACACACACACACACCAATTCAAACAGAACCTTTGGTGCTATGCAAGAGAATTTAAACGTTTCAAAATGTAGAACTAAACATACTATCTGAGGTATGGCTAAAATAACCCAACAACAACAATAATAAAATGAATAGAAAAAATACAAATGAAATCCATGTTACAAATAAGCTATAAACATATTTATAATTCATAAACAACATTAAAATGATTGCTAATGTAACATTAATTGAAATAAGAAAAGTTAAGAAAATATGTTTAATGCAGAGGTACTTTAAAAAAAACAAAAAAGTTAATAAAATATTTTTATCTGCATTAAAATATTCTTTGGAAACCAAAAGTAAAAATGCATAATGTATTTTTGGGTTGATCTATAAACGTCAAAAAATACAAAGTCCAGGCTATTTAACTTCCTGAAAATGCAGAATTCTAAATATCCCTAAGCATAAAGCAGAAGGCTTTTCATGTTCCTGAACTGAAGCAGTGTACTCCTTGTATTGGTACAAAGAATTCCAGTTCCATTTCTATCAAAAAAAATGATTGTTTCAGTCAAGCTGAAGCAAATGACCAGGCTTCCAGACAGCGTAAAGTTAGCAGAAGCTGTGTCCAATAATTTTCCTGCAGAGCTTGGAAGACACCTGTAGAAACTGCTGAGGGAAAGGCATGGTTCTTCCCATGACCAGCACAAACGTTATCCAAAGCGAAACTTGAGTCTGTATTTCCCTGTGTTAGGACTTCTGCGCGGAGTGGAGAGGGGGACCTTTGGTTTGACAGGGTTAAGTGGCTTCTTCTTTTCAGGGACAGTAACGGTGAATGACAGTTCCGGCTGCTCTGACTGCTTGAATCTTGGTAGAAAATGGGTAGAGACATGCTGGGGTTTAACCCGAGGGCTGCACCCTCGTTTAGCTTTCCCTCTTTTGTTCAGGGCCACGTACCACTCTCGCCCAGTCTTTTCAGTTCTGTGTATCGCTGAAGCATAGGTATTATAGCTGTTTTCTTGAAACCGTTCCCTGAACTTGCAGTCATCTGTAAATTTGGCCTAAGGGGAAAAAGAAGAAGAAAATTAATTGGTAGTAATATTTTCAGCATATAATAAAATATGAAGTCTTCTGCCAAAAAGGCAAATCAAGAATTTTATTGATCCCTTACCCTGCTCCTCCATTCCCTATAACACATATATTTGCATCTTCTAAAGTTGCTTAAAAATTCTATTTTTGTATCTATACCCTTGCATTATTCGGCTTTGTAACAATGATTTCCATTCACTATGCACTATGCACTTGGTGACATAATATCAATATATATAAAAATGAATTCTTAGTTTATATATTAAAATCTCTTAATTCAATGGATTTAAATGCTGTTGTTTTAGAAATATTTTGTAGTTAAATTTTTTGTAGAATTTTTCTTATAAGTCACCAAGAAAAAGAAATAGGATTATAGTACGAGGAAACAAATGTCTGGGCAAACATGCACTTGCATTTTGAGAAATGGGGTCAAATTATTCCTTTGGAACAAGCAGGCATATTTCAGTGTGATCAGTGAAAGTCATGTCCCGAGCAAAGAGAAGCATCTGGCCCTACTGACGATGCACATATGAGAAATCTGTCAGGAAAACTACATGCTCACTCGTGGGCTACACCTGAGGCCAAAAAGAAAGAACAATGCCAGAGTCACTAGCAACACTTCAGCCGTATCTTGCACACACATACGCACACACACACACACACACACCCAATAGTTGGCCTTGAAGTATTCACAAAATGATGGAAAAGCAAACCAGGAGACATCATCATCTCTGGGCTGCTTGATAAATGGTATTGTGACAGCAGCAGGCAGAAGACACGATGAGAGCCGCGCACAAGGGCATCTAAGAGCGTGGAAGTAGCTGGGAAGAGGGCAGGAAAATCTTCCTGAAGACATCTGACATGTGAATTGAGCCTTCAAGTACTGCTATAGAGAGGAAGGTAAAATGACAATGAAAATCTTGGGGAACAGGAACAACGTGTTTTAAACTCAGCAGGACACTTTAAATATCTTTGAGTAGTACAGTGTGACTTCCAGTGAAAGAACAGAGGAAGCTGGCAAAGAAAGTCAGGACTACCCTGAAAGGGCTCAGCTTGCCAGATCAAGGAATTCAGAGGAAAAAGATGGGACAAGGAGTTGAACATTGGGTCAGCAAGGCTACCGAGTACCAATTCTGCCAAGTAAGCTCTTAGCTTCTGGCTCCTTATCCTTAAATCTTACACCCAGAGGGCTATTGCAAGAATCCACACAATTTTTCTTTTGGAGAGATCTGCAGCTTTCAGTGAACTCAAAAAAGCCCATAATCTCTAAGGAATTAAGAGCTCCTGCACTAGTTCAGACTACTAGGTTCCACAAGTGCAAGGAGCTCAATTTCCTAGGATTCTTGGGCTTGGGAATAACTAATATTTCATCCTCATATATGAAAACTCTACAAGCTGTGTACTTCTGTGTCAGGCAAAACTTTCTACATTGGACTAAAAGGCTTTTTTTTTTTTTTGCATTTTGCAATATGGCAAACTCTTGTCACAATACAGGTTACAACAACAGAGTTACCTGAAAGTATGAATACTGCTGGGCAAGTTATATAGGCCCAGTGCTGTGCAAACCAAGGATAATAACAGAAGACAGCCAGTACCACTGAATGGGCAGCAGTGCAAACCCCTTGTGTACAACAGTGCACCCCAGTTATCCACATTTAAGTGTAATAAAGCTCTGTATTGGGAGCTATAAAGCTATGTATATATGTCGTCTACAACTCAGCAAGGAAATGTCACATTTGATCTCTAGTGGGCTGACAGCAAGTGTGTCAAAAAGTCAGCCTGTGAGTGTATTCCTCTCTTACTGTCCTACCACCTGCTTGCCCATGTGTAGACCAAGGTGACATCAGTGCTAAAAATCATAGCTATTCTTTCCATTTTTTAATCAAAATACTTTCTTACAAATTAAATATAGATTTGTCTACAGCTGCTGAGCTCTTAAAAACATTCATTTAATTAGATAATCCAAGAGTTTCATTTTAAAATAAACTCTGTAGCCATCTGGAATGTTTCTAGCTCCATAAAGGAATAAGAATTAGAGAATGGCATGAAATATTTCATTGAAAAGTAGTTCAGTTGTAGAACACTTGCATTTGCTTAACATGTGTAAGGCCCTGCATTTGATTCCTAGCACCACATAAACACAAAAAGTACTTTTAAGAAAAATAGTTTCATAACACATATACCATACATAATATATATGTTTTATATGTATTTAAACCTTATAAATATACTATAGCTTGATGCAACTTCTACCTCTGTTTCACAAAAATAACAGTAATTGCTTTATCCAATTTTGATACTTAGATCTTTAAAGTGTACCACATCATTTTTTATTTTTTACTTTTTTAATGTATTTAGTACAAGGTCTTCAGGGTCTCACTACACAGACCAGACTCACTGCAGTCATTTTGTTTTCAGCCTCCCACATGCTGAGGTTACAGGCTCGTCCCACAGTCTCAATTGCCATCTCAGTGCGCCCTGGGGGCAGGGCCAGTGCAGCAGGCCAGAGATTGAACTCCCGGGCCGTGCATGTGCCTATGCAGGCCCTTTAGTCCTCTGAACTATCTGCCGGCCTTTGTACTACATTACTTAACTTTTCTTTCTCCCTACATTGTCCAAGAAAATAAAGAGCATGTCATTTTTCCATGATATGGCTGACAAGCATTCATGGTCACACACACACAGACACACACACTCATACACACATACACACTCCATAGCATATTATAAATCTGTGTCAGTTCTACCTTAGAATTTCTTACATCTGTGAAAATCCATGTACTTCACCATATACAATAATCCCATTATAATTTTTTTCTTTCCTCCTCAAGAGTGATATTCTGAATTGCTTTCTTAAAACAAGTCTTAAAAAATAAAAAATAAAAAAATAAAAACAAGTCTTGGTGGCGCTGGGGAGATGGTTCAGTGGAATAAGCACTTCCCTGGCAAACTCAAGGGCCTGAGTTCAATCCTCGGTTCCGCAGGGAAAAAAAAAAACAAAACCGGGGGCTGGTGAGATGGCTCAGTGGTCTAAAGCACCTACTTAGAACAAGCTAAGCTAAACAAAGCACAGGGACCATGGTTCAATCCCCAGCACCACATGCCAGCCAGCCCTGCCCCCTGGTGGGCTGAGCTGCACACACACACACACACACACACACACACACACACACACACCACAAAATAAATAAATGTTAAAAAAAAAAGTCTTGGCAAGAGATGGTTGTCCAGCCCTTAGATTTTTAAGGATCACGTGACTCATGGAGCAACAATGTTCTGAGTTCTGAGGACACACACATACTACATGAAGCCCTGCCAGCCACCCCAAATCCTACAGCCAGTTTTGACTCTCCTTGAGTCTCTTAGTTGACTTTTCATTTAACGTTTTTTCTGAAAAATTATTCTAGTTCTGATGGAAGAGAACCACTGGAAACAAACATTTCAGTGAATCTTTTAATAAGGAGATCTAGTTTCTTCCTGAAGGATCTACTGGTCCTCTCAGTATCACAGTCTTGCTTAGATGAGAAAGTGACCCGAAGCAGCCCATCTGTGTATGTAATGTCATGCATGGGACATCATGGTAGTAGCCTTAACAAGAAGCGCAGGTCTAGCTATAGAGAGTAGCATACCTATTTGACGATAGACAATTTTAGATAATACATTGTCCACAGCAATATCCATGTTTAAATTCTCCTTCAAATTCTAATAAATCCTTTAATAAAGTGAATACATTTTCTAACTATTTGTTTGTTTGTTTACTTATTTCTTTGGTACATGGTCTCAGTATGAAGCTCACACTGGTAATGGTCCTTCTGTCTCATCCTTGCCCAGCGCTGGGATTGCAGGTGTGTGCCACGATGCCCAATCTCAACTCAGCATGACTTTTTAATCACAAGAACTTTATTTTGGAGCTAGATGTGGAGTTACATGTTCATAATCCCAAAACTTGTGAGGCTGAGATAAGAGAATCTCCAGCTCAGGCCCAACTCGCACAACATAGGGAGGCTCTATCGTAAAAAGAGCAGCTGAACAAATAAATAGGTATTATTTCCCTAGGAAAACAACATCAACGTGCAGACTTTGCCTATGGCCAAAGTGTAAAGTAGGGAGCTTAATTAAATTTCAGTTAGATGACTAGAATCAAGCCCCCCATCATTCCACTATCCTACCACTATCAGGTGCTCAAAAAAAACTATTAAGGTTTTTCAGAGAGCCGATGAGATAGCTCAGTGGAATGAGCACCTGTTTAACCAAGTGCAGGGACCGGAGTTCCATCCCCCGCACTACAGGCTATGCCAACCCGCCCTGGGGCAAACTCAGCCAGGGGATGAGTCTAGGTATAAGCAGGAGAATCACTATGAGTCCGAGCCATGTAGTGAGACCGTGTACCAAACACATTTTTTAAAAAAAGGTATTTCAGAAAACCCCTATCTTTGTTTCAAATTCATTTTTTAATTATCTATTCGATAGATGTGTGCTGACTGCAACCCATGCCAGATATTTTGTTAATTGTCATTTTGATGTCCTGCCCGTGTTCTCCCATGACTTAAATTATTTCTATTTTTCTCTTAATCTCTCCTTTATCTTGCAAGAGACAAAAAGCTTACATTCAACAAGCCATACCTGCAAAATTAAAATGAAATTCTCAAATCAACTAATGCTGTGTATTCTAATATATGTGTAGTGGCCAAAAGAAATAAAGCAAATGCATTAGACTATGCTTGCATGACTATCCTCATAGCAGGGAGGAGAAACACTGGGAAGGCAAATGAGAACCTTCCATATAAAAACACTGTCTTGCCTCTGCTCCTCTCTTCTTGCAATGAAAAATCCATTTTAAGCAATGGACTTATTAAAGAAAAAAAAAGTCAGGGTCAGTTCAAAGAAAGTGAAATTTGATTTAAGCGAAGTATTCTGAAAAAAATTAGTATGAAGTTGAAATTAAACAGAGTGTCAATGAAGGCAAATATAA